TTAGAGCCATGAAGAGCTACAGTGAAAACAATAAAATGTGGCCATGAACACAATACTCTGTCAGGATAAGATTATATCAGTTTTTGTTCCCCTTATTATGCAACTGGACTTGTACTGTAGTTTATGACTCTTCTAATCTAGATATCAGTCAACTGTGGGAACAGTCCCAATTGCACATTGTTTCAATGCAACATGAATAACACATCAACTCATCAACTCAACTGTTGATTTCTGGGATTATTTACTCTCCTCTTCCTATATTCAAAGTATGCCTTGTCAGTATATAACACATTTTATGTGTGTAAATGCATCTCAGATTTAAAGTGGTTTCCTTCAGAAGTTGTCTACAAGACAGAAAGCAGGTCCCGCCCCCTAGGTCGCCGAGATTGTGCCAAGTAAGACATGTTCCTGGATCAACATCTTTTATTGATCCTGGATCAACATTACTGTCCAAAAATATAGACTAAACCCAATCCCTAACCCTAAACCTAAACCTACCCATAATTTATTCCTAAAATCAGTGTAGAAGTGTAGAAGCACCTAACCCTGATCGTAAGTCTAAAACAGATATTTCCTGAAAAGTTATCCCTCAATTCTGATTGGTTAATTGGAATGTTGTTCCAGGAACATGTTGTACTTGGTGAAATCACAGTCACCCCCCCCCCCTTAATAATAGTTTTACATACTGTATAATTAGCCTAGGGATTTATGTAACAAAATTAATTTATTCTAATAGGCCTAATAATAAAGAAAACTGAGTTTCATGACGTTTTGTTTTTCTTTGTTTTTAACAACGGAATATAAATCCACCAGTGCACGTTATTCGCTTGTTGAAACCAGATGTTTAAAAAACTTCTCAAAGTGATAAAGGCACTTACCATTTTATCAAACAACCGCAAACACGGTCCAAACTTTCCCCATTCAACTCCTCTGCAATCGCATGAGCTGGTCCAGACGTTTGAAATTCTTCTGCACATTCGTTTAATTGAGTTGGTGCAGGATGTTCATCAACATCCTGCGGCTTCCACCAGTGAACAAGTTTGCAGCTGTCGGAACATCGAGACGAGCCTGTTTAGACGTGCAAAATGTGAACCTATTTGCCTCTGTCTCCACTCCCCCTACACGTGAAAATAAAATTATGCGAGCATGGCAGGCCATAAGTGTGGATTTCCCTCTTACTTGCAAAACTGGCTACTTGGGACTTGCCCTAGTTTCAGTTCTGTTGAGGAACACGCCAGTTTTCAAACGTGCTCAGCATACAGCAATTGATCATTTCATAAGTAAAATCTATCAGGCCAACCTGATTTTTAATTGCTGTTCGAAGTTGTAAATTAAATATTATTGGTCTACATTTTACAAGAAAATACTATTTCAGTCTTCAAAATTTCAATTTTAATTCAATGTGTTTCTTGGCAATTATTTGTGTGAAAAATTTCATGTAAATCCTACATCATTTTTTTTTTGTCAGTGTAGGAAATATCAAACAGCTGGATTCCCTGGGTGATCAATCTGGAACCGAGGGTTAATTCAACCCACAATGAAAAATACTATCATCATTTACTTTTCAAACCCATAAGACTTTAATTAATCTTCGAAACACAACTGAATATATTTTTATTAAACCTGAGATTTCTGTCCCTCCACTCAAACCATGATTCAAAATTGTAAAAGTAAAAAAAAGGTTTGTTTTTGTGTCACACAAATGTTTCAGCGGCTGCAAGAAGCATCCCAGCAAGCAATTTTGCGTTTAAAAGACGTCTATTAGATGTCTAAATATAGCCTAGACGTCTAGGCTAAAACGAGGCTAAATTTGGGCTGTCAGTGAAAATCTAATAGACGTCTAATCATAGCCCAAGAATAGACTAGTCATCAATTAGATGGCTATTAAACGACTACATATATACATCTAATAGACAACAAAATGGCAATCCATACATACAGCTTTTATTAAGAATTTTTTTTTGACAACATAAGACAATACAAAATGATAAAAATACAAAAGAATGAATGACAAAATAAAATGTTATAAATACAATACACTTAAATATAAATATTATGATTAAAAAATCTGGAGTTTTTAACAACTTAAGATAATAAAAATATAAACATGAAAAAATAAGATATTTAAAAGAAAAAAAATCTAATACAAATCAAGAACTTGTTATCACACTTAACATTAAAACATTACAGATAAATGACAACATAAAAAAAGATTAATCCTTTTGTTGGTTTACTTTTAACAAATAAAACAACCAACAGTGAACTTAAAGGAAATGATTAATTGTTGGTTTTATTTCTTGTTTAAAATCCCTCCCAACTGCATTCCTCAAGTCCAACTCTGTCGCTGCCGGGAAGTTGGTCATCACAGCATCTGCCAAATAAGAAAGAAAGAAAAAAAAAGCACAAGAAAGGCTTGACATAATTTTTTACTTTAATTACACTAATTGTGACA